ATTCTATTCTATTCTGGCTCCTATTCTATTCTATTCTATTCTATTCTTCATTCCAATATTCTATTCTATTCTGTTCTGTTGTATTCTATTCCTGCTGCAAAGAGACCGCAGCACCAGAGATCAAAGTCTGGCATATATTTGGAAAAGATTTTACCTGGCTGCATTCGATCCTTGGCGTACCAGATGGCAAACCCGTCTCCGTTGAGGTTTTTTTTCCCTTGTCCGTGGATTTTGAAATGTACCTGCATCTCCCAGTCTCTCAAGTAACAAGGCTGCGGGAAGCAAAAAAGATGCAACTTAGAAAGGAGAGAGAATCCCTCAAAACAGAATACAAAAGTTGGAAGGGACCTGGGAGATTGTCTAGTCCAACCCCCTGGTCAAGCAGGAAGCCCTACACCCGTGATGGCGAACCTATGGCATGGTAGCCATCGTCCCAGCCCAGCTCCACCGTGCACACACTCATCCCTCCTGCCAGTCAGCTGTTTTTCGGGTCTCTGTCGGGCATGCGCAGAGGGCAGGTTCCATGTGCGGGGGGCGCTTGCATTGCATTTTAAGGGACCGCGCGCATGTGTACACACCCCGGTGCCGTTTGGGCCTGGAAGGCCTCCTGCACCAACCTGGAAGCCAAAACGGAGCACGGGAGGAGGGGGCAGGGTGCATGCACGGGGGGGGGGGGCACTCGCATTGCATTTTGGGATTGCACGCACGCACATGCTTTGGGCCCTCGGCACCAGAAAGGTTAGCCATCACTGCCCTATATACCAGTGGTGGCTAACCTTTTTGGGCTCCTGTGCCAAAAATTGTGCGCGCACTTGCACATGCACACTCATGTGCCAGCACCCAGAAGGCAATGCGTGCCGCCCCACGTCCCCTACCTATGCGTGCGTAATCCCCACCCACCCCCGTTGTCCCCTTACCTGCATGGCGCCTCACAGCTGATTTTCAGCGGGTTTGAGGCCTTTTCGGCCTCTCAAAGGCTCAAGGAAGGCTTCTGCAGGCTTCTGCAGGCCGAAAACTAGCCCTGTTTCGTCACTTCTGGTATTTTCGGAAAAACAGGAAGTGATGAAACGGGGCTAGTTTTCAGCCTGCAGAAGCCTGCAGAAGCCTTCCTGAAGCCTCTGGGAGTCCGAAAAAGGCCTCAAACCAGCAGAAAAATCAGCTGTGAGGCGCAGTGCATGCGCAGTGAGGTAAGTTTGCCTGCAGCTTGCGTGCCGGCACAAATGGCTCTGTGTGCCATCACGGCTATATACAGTTTCAGACAAATGTCTCTCCAATCTCTTATTTAAAATCTCCAGTGTTGGAGCACCCAAAGCCTCTTTGTGATTAGCGGGGGAAATGTATCTTAACACTTCCTTTGCAGGTGAGATACGTAGGTTCCTCCAGGAAATGGATCCTTTCAAAGCAGCATAACTTCTGCTAGAAAGTCCCAAAGGTGCTTTCTTTTTTTTTCCTAAGCGGCAACTGGACTTTCTGGTTTTTCTTTGAAGACATTTTGCTTCTCATCCGAGAAGCTTAGAGCTGGAGAACGCTGAAGACGCTTCACTTATTTTAAAGGTAAAGGTTCCCCTCCTTGCACATCCATGCTACTCGTTTCTGGCTCTAGGGGGCGCTGATCATCTCCGTTACAAAGCCAAAGAAGAGCCAGCGCTGTCCGAAGATGTCTCCGTGGTCATGTGGCCGGCAGGACTAAACGCCTTCGAAGGCGCACGGAACGCTCTTCCCTTCCCACCAAAGGGGGTCCCTATTTTTCTACTTGCATTTCTTTTACGTGCTTTCGAACGGCTAGGTTGGCAGAAGCTGGGACAAGTAATGGGAGCTTACTCCGTTACGTGGCGGTGGGGATTCGAACCGCTGAACTGCCGACTTTTCTGATCGAAAAGCTCAGCGTCTTAGCCACTGAGTTACCTGAGTATGTCCCTCAAATGTCTGAGTAACAGAATCAGAAGAGAGTTTTCGTGCCAGGGAAGCAAGGCTGCTACCCAAAGATTATTAGATTATGGAAAGCTGATTATCACTCATTTTAGGTTATTCGATTAAAAAGTTCAGTTCAATTCCTTGTTTATAAATGGACTGTGCTTCTCTGCATTCTCCCAGGCTGTCACTTAGTCACACAATTTCCAATATTGTATTTTAAAAAACGAGGGGATAAAAGCCACTGAGACACCACAACCCTTTCATTTATTTTAAGCGCTTGCAAATATTAGAGCTAAAGGTGACAACTGTTTTTTGCACATTAGCGGTTGCAAAGGACAATGCACGCCCACCCACAATTCCTTGTGCCAATAATCCATGTATTCCCCTTCCAGCCGAGCTATATTTAGGGCCAGAAAGACAGTAATTAATCCCAACGCGCATGCTTCAACTACAGGGAACAGCCAGAGCTGAGCTGGAAAGCAAACAACTCAATCAAAGATCAGCAAATTCTCTCAAGTGTATATAAACTGCAGAATCAGTGAAGGAGATGCCCGAGATATTACACCCTGTTTTAAAAAGCTTCTAATTTTTTTAAAAAAAATTTGTGGCCACATTATACTCTATCCCTGTCTGCAAGAAAAAAGATAAAAATTGTAAGTTTGATAGCACCTCTTCCAAGTAAACTTTCACGAAAGGCACAAAGTTTCTTGAACTGCAGCTCGTTCATCAAATGCACAGAATAAAGACTACACTGATAAAAGACTCCTAAATGTGCATGGGGCGATGGGGAAGAGAAGGTTGTGCAAATATAGATTACCTGTGGGGCATATACCTTTGAATGTAATTTCTAAGCAGAAAAATATCAATTCCTTCCGATCTAGAGAGGTTCTCGGGTCATCCACGGTTGTCCCAAAGGTGCTTTTTTTCCAAGAGGCAACTGGACTGTCTTGGTTTTCCTTTGAAGGCATTTCGCTTCTCACCCAAGAAGCTTCTTCAGCCCTTCAATTTCCCCATTATCCTGTGAGAGCTGAAGAAGCTTCTTGGGTGAGAAGAGAAACATCTTGAGTAGGACAGAACAGAACAGAATAGAATTCAAAAGAAAAAGAAAATAGAATAGACTTTAAAAGAAGAAACAAGGAAGTCCAGTTGCCTCCTGAAAAAAGCACCTTTGGGTCAACCATGACCTGGAGGACTGAGAATCTCCATAGGCTTTTTAGCTATGCAATTTGGGATGGACTCCCTGGGAATGGTGTGGGAGGAGGAATGGGTTTCCAGAGGAAAAAAAAAATGCAGGCTACAGGAACTATTAAAGCTACTCAGGTGACCCCGAGGACACAGATCAACTTCCAAGTGGCCTCAAGACCCTTTAAAAAGATGCAAATGACCAGCTGTCTGCAAGGAATATAAATCCTACCATCCAATCGGAGCTGAAGAAGCTTCTGGGATGAGAAGCAAAACGTCTTCAAAAGAGAAAAACCAGGAAGTCCAGTTGCCTCCTGAAAAAAGCACTTTTGGGACAAAACTGACCTGGAGGACTGAACTTTTAGCTATGCAATTTGGGATGGACACCCTTGGAATCGTGTGGGAGAAGGAATGGATTTCCAGAGGGAAAAAATTGCAGACTACGGGAACCATTTGCACTAACTACTCAGGTGATCCTGAGGACACAGACAGACCTTCAAGAGGCCTCAACGACCCTCTCAAAGGATGCAAATGACCAGCTGTCTGCAAGGAGTAGAAATCCTTCCGTTCCCCTCCATCCAGTCAGAGCTGAAGAAGCTTTTTGGATGAGAAGTGAAACGTCTTCAAAAGAAAAAGAAACAGAAAGTCCAGTTGCCTCTTGAAAAAGCTCCTTTGGGACAACTCCTTCTGAGGTTTTGCTACCACGGACTAACGGAGCTGTGCTCCTACAATGCCTGAAGGACACGGTAAGCAGACCCCTTGTTGGATGCCTAAACTTCCTAAAAGAAAACAGAAGGAAAGCAACACCACCTTAAAACACTACAGGTAGTCCTTGACTTACAACAATTGATTTAGTGAATGTTCAAAGTTACAACAGCACTGGGGGAAAAAAAGTGAGTGAAGACCGTTTTTCACACTCACAACTGTTGCAGCATTCCCATAGTCACCTGATCGAAATTCAGATGCTTGGCATCTGACTCGTATTTATGACGGTTGAGGTATCCCGGGGGGGGGGGGGGGCATGTCATCCCCTTTTGTGACCTTCTGACAGGCAAAGCCAACGGGGAAGCCAGATTAATTTAACAACTGTGTAACTAACTTAACAACTATAGTGATTCTCTTTAACAACTGGGGCAAGAAAGTTTGTAAAATGGGGCAAAACGCACTTAGTGAATGTCTCGCTTAACAGAAATTGTAGGTTCAATTTTGGTTCTTAAAGTCAAGGACTACTTCTACGTCTCAGCAACTTTACAATGGGCGGCTGGTGTTCTGACCCAAACCCTTTTCCAATAAAACAAACAATAACCAAAGGGAACAGAAACCTTTTAATGGGTCTTATGAATCCCCGGTTAAAAGGCTGCTGCAAACTAATTAACTTCGATAAGCACAAGCCTGGCCAAAACTCTGCGAGGCTGCCAAGAATAACAGATAAGAAATATTTCACAACACAAGAGTCTTCAAATAACAACTTAAGATACTGGAATGTCCATGAGGCTGAGTTTCAAAACGTCTTTGTTTCCTGCAAAGAACGTTCGCTTCACAGCTGGCTTTTATCATCTTGAAGGAGGGGCCATTACCTTGCAGCCTTACTCCTGAGTCGCCCACGCTGTTGCAGCTGCTGTTTCCTGCGAGCAGCCCTGTGCGCACACACACTTGGCACAGGCTCCTCGGGAACCTCCTCATCACTGCTGCCAGCCCTCACAATCTCTGAAGGCAGCAGTCCACTCCCTAATGGTCCTGGCCCCTCATCTGAGTCCTCGCTCTCCTCAGCCATCCGCACCTGCTGCCAGCCAACCACAACAACAACTAACTTAACTGTTGCTAATTTCACTGTAGTGATTCTCTTTAAGAAAGTTGGCAAGAAAATGGGGCAAAATGACTCGCTTAACAGAAACTGTGGGTTCAACTTTGGTTGTTAAAGTCCAAGACTACTTCTACGTCTCAGCAACTTTATAATGGGCGGCTGGAGAGTTATGTAAGTTCACCCAATCGTAAAGTTGAGAAACAACTATGCTAAAAGATGGAAAGAATCCGCCTACAGCACATTCAGCCAAGGCTGAGCAACACTGGCTGACCTGAAGGATGCTTTCCGAAAGGACGGTATGTGAAACCAACCAACTTTATTTCCCAAACCATGACTAAACAAATTCTGGCTTAATGCAATATGCAAAATCCAGTATCACACCACACCTTCTGATTGGGCAGGATAAATCACCTTTGCAAAATCAGGCCCTTTTGCAATAATCACCTTTGTTCCCCCAGGACATTTGCTATTTATTGCTTCACCCTTCCCCTCCTTTTTGCTACGGACAGGATAACATCAATTGAGGGGGAAGGTATCTGCCAATTATTCCAACCCTAATGAAGTCCTAGAGCCCGCCCTCAGGTGATTAAGCCTTACCACTCTGTTCCAGACAGCACCCTGCTTGCTTTGGATATCTGGCGTGAGACGAACAAACTGGGTCATCACCATCGCATTGCCCATAAGTTCCCACAGTGACGAACTGCCAGATCCCACACCTGAAAAACAAAAAAGAACATTAAGGACTAATTGGTGGTTAGGTCAAAACTAGTTCCCAACACCATCTGACGTCAGAGGTTGAGCTGTGTGATGACCCGGAGCGTGGCACAAAGGCAACTCAGTCAGATAATCAATAAGAGTCCCTTTATTAGCTCCAACTTTGACCCCAATGTCCAGATTTCCTTCTGGCTGGAGAAAAACTCTCCCAGGAACAGCCTTTGGCTGCAGAGAATCTAAGTCCAAAACATGAGCAACACAAACTGTAACTTAAAGTCCAAACAAGCCAAACTGAAGTAATTAGTTTGGCAGGGCAGGAGCAAGAATTTCAGATGTGAAGGCACAGCAAAACTCACACAGTTGGGAAGACACCAGGAACACAGATAAGCCACGACAACACAGGATAAAGTCATGTTTGCTCCCAGCAGTTTGCCACATGCATCCTTCCTTTCTTATCAACTGTCTTCCCGGCTGTGGCTAATGAAGGGAATCAGGGCCCTTTCCTCCCCCATAAGCCATGCAACCCACGTTGCTCTCTTCTCTGTTCCTCTGTGTGCCTTAGGATGAAGAGGGGGTGGGCATGGGTCTTCCTCTGAACTCCCTCTCCCTGTTCTACCTCTCCCCTGCTCTGCCCAGCCGGACTTTACCCTTCCCCAATTTCGTCCACACCCAACGGAGCCACACTCTCGCTCCTTGTCAGCTGTTCGTCTTCCTCCTTGGATTCAGACGCTGACAGGGGCATGACAAGCTGTGCCTTTTGACCAAACCTGCCATTATGAGGGACATGGTCAGCTATGAAACACACTGGTCCAGAAGGCGAAATTAAAACTCTTGTGGAAAAGTTTATGAAGGCAGTTCAAGCCGTCAACAAAACCCATGTCGCAAGGCAGGTTCTTTGAGTTTGAGGCGTGCCAGTTTTCTACTTCCTTGGGTTTCATTGAAAAGTCTCTTTTTTCCAAAGCCAGGTGAATAACAAAAGTGAGACTTCTGGAGCATTCTGCACCCCACCCCCCCTCCACAATTCACACAATACTTCACTGTGTGTTCAATTCAATTCAGACCTTTATTGTCAGCGTGCAACATGTGCACAATGAGATTGGCTGAGCCTCCCTTAGTGCACCTCTCATTTAATACAATGGAACTCACAGTGAAAGACAGAAAATCTTTTTTTTTTCCCAAGTTCAAAATGAAATTTATAAATTACCAGCAGGAGAAAAACAAGAGACTTGCAAGACTATAAAGGATCCTCACGCTATTTCAGCAGGTCCCAGATCTTAGAATGAACTTTAGGGGAAAATATCTCTCATTAATACACCAGACCACACCGTCTATTTCAGGGCTCCTTTTCTATGTACAGAATTTGTATGTGCGTGTGTGTATAGATACACATACACACAAAAACATAGACTTCAAAACTTAAATGAAACCAACTCTAAAAAAAAGCAAAGGGCAAAGATAAACCTGAAAAGAGAGAGTAGAAATTAAAAGCATCCAATCACGGCAGAATCTAACCAGAAATATTTCTCATCAAAGCCTGTCAATCTGTTGGGTAAAAACGTCATTCACTGTCTCAATTCCATTTAGTTTTTTTCTGGCAATGCTTAATTTCATCCATAAAGACAGAAAATCTCTAGCCCAGTGAATTGACCTGAAATCTGATGCCAAGCTGACCCCCATTTTCAGTGGGAGAAACCAACCGATTTTGACTCCGATGGAAATGGAGGAGGACACCTCCCCTGCACAGATGGATTTTAGAAAAGCCACTCGAATTGCAACAGGAGAGGCCTCCTCTGCACCCACCCAAGTCCCGTCTGCACCCAAACCCCCAGCTGTTGTACCCCCATCGTGCTGCTTTTCTCGTCTCCAGCCTCCTGGCCAGGTTTCAGGCCAACGTTGGAAGAAATATCCAGGTCCACTTCCAAGCCGGGAGAAAGGCAATGGAAATAAAATGGTGGCTGGAGGCCGACTGGAAAGAAACAATCCCTTTCTTGATGAAGCAGGACCACACCAACCGGACATGTGATGCTGGGACAGCTGACCAAATGGAATTGAGAGCAGGAGGGTTTTTATATAAATTTTTTTTGGGGGGGGGATTCCTATGGGGTCACGTAGGGGTCACGGCTGGCTCTACAGGCAAGAGGGGACATGCAAATCCTTAGGTGTTTGTCTGAGCTTATTTTGTCAACCTTTCGCTTGCCTAACCGTATTGCTTATCCGGAGTCTCTGTCTGACCCAGGCTTTCTGAACGGATTGCCACAAATCTGCATTTCTTTAAGCCAGGGGTCCTCAAACTCGGCAACTTTTAAGACTTGTGGACTTCAACTCAGTCCACAAGTCTTAAAATTGCCAAGTTTGGAGACCCCTGCTTTAAGCCCTCGGTTTCTGCTTGGGGAAGGGAAACTGGGGACTGGTTTCTGTCTCCCTTAAGGTGTCCCCCCCTCCTCCAATTTCTCCTTTAGGGGAAATATTATTTCCTGCCTTTTAAATATTCCCCCAAATATTTCATTCTTCGGGGGGAGGGGGGTTCTTCCCACACCACGAGGACCTATTTCACAACCCGCCCTCCCACCACAAAAAAAACTGGATGAACAGCAGACCATCACCTTGCATCCACCTGACCTCCCCCACCCCCAGGTGGAAATGCAACCCCTTTCCCACTTTTCTAGGAACATCAGCAAAGAAATTCTCTCCCTCACACAAACACACACAAACACACACAAACACACACACACATATTACTGTATTTTCTCCTTGCACCCAGTAATAGCCCTCGTGGCCCCAGCCTTGGATGATTTCTCTGCAACTCTACCGCTTGTTTGAGACTTTTTCAAGAAGAGACTGGGCCTGTCAGAAATGGGTGTAGGGTCTCCTGCTTGGGCAGGGGGGGTTGGACTAGATGATCTACAAGGTCCCTTCCAATTCCATTATTATTCTGTTATTCAGAAGTTGTGGGAGCTTCATCCCTTTGAGGCTTTCAAGAAGAGACTGGACTGCCCTCTGTCAGAAATGGGTGTAGGGTCTTCTGCTTGGGCAGGGGGGGTTGGACTAGATGACCTACAGGGTCTCTTCCAGCTCTGATTATTTGTTAACTGTTTGCATGCTGCAAAAAGGGGGGGGGACGCTCAACCCAGGCAGCACTGCAACCCCAATCCCCCACCCCAACCCCATGCATCTAGGAAAGTAATTCTAGGGAAAGCCCAAGCGCCCTTAACAGGCAGGGATGCAACAGGTGGAGCCTCTCCAAGGCGGGAAACACCCTGACTTGGGAGCAGGGGCTACACCGGACGGACTTCCACCTTGCAAGTCAGCCCCACCCACCCACCCAATACAACCGCGAAGGAGAAGCTGCTGCACCCTGGTAAGGCATGGTGAGCGAGTGCTCCCGCTTCAGGTACTCCTCCATCTGCTCCGCCCCGGCTTCCCAGGCCAGCAGCGGCAGCCAGAGCAGCAGCTGCAAGTGCAGCTGCAGCCGCCGCCGCCGACGGAGCCCGGCATCCCCGCTCCCGGCTCGCTCAGCCGCCGCTGCAACAGCCGCCGCCATCTTACTCCCTCCGTCAGCCCGCGAGTGGGCTCGCGAAAGCCCGCGGCCTCCGGATTGGCCCGCCCTTCGGTCACCGCCCCCTTCCGCGTTCCTTCCTGCTCGTCGATTGGCCGAGCGCTTAGGTTTCGACGGGGCCTTCGCGAAGGGTTCTGGGAAACGTAGTGCAAAGTCCCGTGCGGCCTTAAAGGGGTAGCGCCCTGTTTCAGACTCGGTGTTGGTTCGACTCTGGAAGGGAACGCAGGGACTCCTCGATTTACAGCTTAACATAATACTTTAGCAAGTTTGGACGTGGAAAAGGAAAGCAGGTGATATGCTAATTTGGAGAAAGTGCCTTGGGAACTGAAACAGGCCTGAATTATCGGAGTGTCGGGAGAAAGTAAGGAGCTGAAAGTGGCAATTACAGCACAGGTACCCTTCAACTTACAACTGTTCATTTAGTGACCGTTCCAAAGATACAAAGGCACTAAAAAAAAGTGTTTTTCACACTTAACGGCCATTGCAGCATTGATTACAGATTAGAGTTGGAACTTGGAAGGGACCCTGTGGGTCATTTAGTCCAACCCCCTGCTCAAGCTGGAGAATTCTGGGAGTTGGAAGTCCACAAGTCTTAAAGTTGCCAAGTTTGGGGACCCTCTGACTCAGATTCTCACAATCCCTGTTTCTTGACCTAGCTTACCTCAAAGGGCTGTCCTCAGCTGAGCCACAGGGTGGAAGCATGGAGGTTTCTGGGTCATCACAATCTACCTTTTGTCCCCTGCCTTGAGGAAGCCGTTTGATCATTTTCTCTGCCACCACCTGTCTCCCAAGGTACATCTCACCTGGCATCCTTTCCCTGATGTGTATGTATGAGAGATCAGGTGCTCATTGCCAATGCTGCTTTTCCAGGGGTTAAAGGGAGGATGGGAGACCACCTGGTGATCTTATGGCATAAAGGCATGTGGCAAAGGATTTCAGGATTTCCTTCTCCTTTTGGAAAGCTGGACCAATCTCACAAGGGATCAACAAAAATAAATTTTATTTAAAAAATAAAAAAGAAATAGCCACCAAGGCCGTATTGTACTTTTAAGAAGAAAATCTACAAAAGTACATGGAGAATTGTCTGTGGAGCTTCTCAGTCACCCAGATCATGGTTGCCCCAAAGGTGCTTTTTTCTTTCAAGAGGCAACTGGACTTTCTGGTTTTTCTTTGAAGATGTTTCGCTTCTCATCCAAGAGGCTTCTTCAGCTCTGACCGGATGGTGGGGAATACATGGAGAATTCCAAGAGAGGCAACAAGATGGCGCTATGCTGTTACAATCATTGAGCCTAGATAGGAACAGGAAGAGGGAGGCTGCTGATAAATTACATTTTTATTTATTTACTTATTTATTTACTGATTGACTGATTGATTGATTGATTGATTTGATTTGTCAATCGCTTACAAGATAATAGGCATCAGTATAAACATGAGTAGGAACACAGGAAATAGGTACGAATAAATGGGGACAATAGGACAGGGGTGGTAGGCATGATGGTGCACTTATGCATGCCCCTTACAGACCTCTTAGGAATGGGGTGAGGTCAATAGTTTGAGGTTAAAGTTTTCGGGTTTTGAGGATGTAACAACAGAGTCAGGTAGTGCATTCCAGGCATTGACCACTCTGTTGCTGAAGTTGTACTTTCTGCAATCAAGTTTGGAGCGGTTTACATTGAGCTTGTATCTGTTGTGTGCTCTTGTATTATTGCGGTTGAAGCTGAAGTAGCCACTGACTGGCAGGACATTGTAGCAGATAATTGTGTGTACTACGCTTAAGTTAAATTTTAACTCACCGAGAAGTTGATAAAAAGATAATTAAATTTTGTGGAGGATAGCCTGACCAGAGTAAAAAGATTAGCCTGAATTCCATAGTTGTAGAAAGAAATGAGCACACTGACAAATAGAATAGAATAGCAGAGTTGGAAGGGACCTTGGAGGTCTTCTAGTCCAACCCCCTGCCTAGGCAGGAAACCCTACCCCACTTCAGACAAAATGGTGGTCCAACCTCTTTTTAAAATACGACTTCAGCAATAGAGTGGTCAATGTCTGGAATACTCTACCCGACTCTGTAGTTTCTTCCCCAAACCCCAAAAACTTTAACCTTAGACTGTCTACTATTGACCTCACCCCTTTCCTAAGAGGTCTGTAGGGGGCGTGCATAAGCGCACCATCGTGCCTACCGTCCCTGTCCTATTGTTTCTCTTATTCTTCTTTTATTTTTCTTATATGTACCCATTTCATGTATTCACAACTATGTATACATTTATACTTATTATCTTGTAAACAATTGGCAAATAAATAAATAAATAAATAAATAAATAAATAAATAAATACTCCCAGTGTTGGAGCATTCACAGCTTCTAGAGGCAAATTGTTCCACTGATTAATTGTTCTAACTGTCAAGAAATTTCTCTTTAGTTCTAAGTTGCTTCTAATAAACCTGACCAATTCTACCACTAATGGTAGAGTGTCCTGCTTGAGGAGGGGGTTGGACTAGAAGATCTCCAAGGTCCCTTCCAACTCTGTTATTCTGTATTCACAGAACATACTGACCAATAGTGATCTTTATGTTTATATTTAGAGAGTTGTATGGACTCTCTCTGGGTGGTTTTTTAACCACAGCTTATAAAACAAATAAATCCAGCCAATGGTGATTTATTCAATTAACCTTGGTTAAGCACAGACTGCTTAGTATACTGTTTCATTCTCTTTCTTGAACTTAATTTCTTTCTCTCTAACTCCTTCTGGCTCCCTCTTTCCTCAGTTTGCATTTATATCTTCAATGGAATAAAACATTGAATTCAGCCTGAGGTTGTTTGAAGGAATTACAAGGTGTGATGTTGCTTTTGCTGCCACACCGCATAAGACAGCTGTATTCCGTCCTGAATCCAGGTACATTCAGTACTAGAACAAATCCTTAGATGGAACTAGAAACAGCAACTTTGGTTAATGATTGCATTCATTGTAATGAGTTTTGTTCTCAGATTTCAGGATGTTGGGCTCTTGCTTTGATTGAGTTCACCATCAAACTAAGGCATGTTTGTTTAACCAGGGTTTAGGTGTCCAACTTGGGCAACTTTAAGATTTTGTTCTGACCCATGCCCTTTTCCGACAAATCAAACACAATTCAAAAGGAACAAAAACTTTGTAATGCACTTACCAAAATAATTAGCTGTGATAAGCACAAGCCTTGCCAAACTGTACGAGAAATTGCCAAAAAATAACAGACAAGAAATCATTTGCAATACAAGAATCTTCAAATACAAACTCAGGATACTGGAAGGTCCACGAGGCGGAAGTTTTCAAAACGTCTTTGCCTTCTGCAAAGAAAGTTTGTTTCACAGCTGGCTTTTATCTTCTTGAGGGAGGGGCCACTACCTTGCAGCCTTACCCCCGAGTCGCCCGTGCTGTTGTAACTGCTCTTTCCTGCGAGCAATCCTGCATGCGTGCGCACTTGGCACAGGCTCCTCGGGAACCTCCTCATCGCTGCTGCCAGCCCTCCCAATCTCTGAAGGCAGCAGTCCACTCCCTAATGGTCCTGGCCCCTCATCTGAGTCCTCGCTCTCCTCAGCCATCACAGTTACGACCCTTGTAGCATTCCCCCATGATCGTGTGGGCAAAATTCAGGCACCTGGCTTTGCTGGCTGGGGAATTCTGGGAGTTGAAGTCCACCAGGCTTAAAGTTGCCATGGTTGGAGACCCCCCTGGTCTAGAAGGCACCCTCTCTCTTCTGGGAATCCAGAACACGTTGCACCACATTGTTTCCAAAATCAATTGCCGCTTTTTCTAAAAGGAATCAAGTCATCCGGATCAGGACCTTATGCAAATTAATACCAATCAAGCCTGTTTCTGGGAAATATGAAAACCCTACCAGCCACTTTCTCTTTCCAACATTCAGCAATCTGTTGACAAGATTAGAGCCAACAGGGAGAACTTCCCTGAAGGGAAAATACCAGGAACACAAGAGAGAAAGTGAGGGTGTAATCTTGGAATTAGAAGCCAACTACAACGAAGTAGAGGAGCGTGCTGAACTTTTGAAAAAGCAGACTTTAATGAATTCGAACCAATGGGAAGAAAAAGGGGATAGGATGCTCCGTGGGAGTGGGGATTTCTAAAAGCCCATGGCAACCATTTCCATCGAGAAGAGTTGAAGCCTTAAATTAACGAAAGGTAACCAAGATGAATGCAAAATTTCTGCATGAGCAGGGAATAGGGCTCCATAAACTGAACGGCTCTTTCCAATGAGGTGATTCTAAAGAGAATTATAGTAGAACCACTGATTGAAACACGTAAGGTGAATCTTCAGCTAGATGAATTTCCATGCCTCCTGTTCGAGTTTGCAGCTTAGAGGCAGTTGGGGAGAGAGGAAGGGAGGGAAGGAGGGAGAGAGAAGGGAAGAAGGAAAGAGAAAGAGAGAAAGAGATCATGACAGAAAGACAAAGAAAGAAAACAAGAGAGGAAGAAACAAGAAAAAGAAAGAGCAAAGAGAGGAGAGAGAAAAGAAAGAAAAAGAAAGAAGGAAAGAAAGAAAGAAAAAAGAAAGATCAAAAATGATAGAGAGAAAGACAAAGAAAGAAAAGAGGAAGAAACAGGATAAGAAAAAGAAAGAAGGAAGAGAGAAAAAGAACAAAAGAAGAAAAGAAAAAAGAAAGAAAGAAAGATCACAAATGAGAGAAAGACAAAGAAAAAATGAGAGAGGAAGAAACAGGATGAGAAGAAGGAAGGAA